TGATGATGGAGCTGAATTTTAACCTGGGCCAAAAAGCCCCCTTTTCATGTATGGTTGTTGGACCCAGCGGTGCTGGGAAAACTTTTTTTGTAAAAAGATTTTTGGAAGATTGTAAATATGTGATGGATGTTGCACCTGATAATACTGTATGGATCTACACCTCGTTTCAACCTATGTATGCTGATTTGCAAAAGATGAATAAAGGAATAAAATTTGTGGAAGGTTTGCCCTCTTCATTCCAGGATGAAGCTCTATTTCCTACAGGTCTGAAACATCTCGTTATTTTGGACGATGTTATTTTTGAAGCCTTGGAACATCCAGAGGTAGTTAAAATCTTTACTCAATACCGCCACCACTGGCAGATATCAGTCATGTTCTTAACGAGAATATTTTTCAGAAAGGGAAATACAGCAGAACTCTGAGTCTAAACAGCACACACATCATTTTATTTAAAAATCCATGCGATAAACTGCAGACCTCTGTACTAGCCCATCAAATTTTCCCCAGGCAGAAAGCTTATTTTATGGAGAGTTATGAAGAAGCTACAAAGGATCCATATGGTTATTTAATGGTTGACTTAACCCCCTCCTGTGCAGAACATTTGCGACTGAGAGCCAGCGTGTTACCCAAAGAGCGCACGTGTGTGTATCTCCCTGGAAGAACCGCTAATAAACATGTCTGAACGGTTAAAACGAAACCTGCCTCTATTAAAGGCGTTAGTTTCCAGCACCCCACGTAGACGCAAGGCCATTCTCGAGGTCTGTTCACACGACCTGGTTAAAACCGTTTGTGATTTGGCGTTTAATCTCCTTAAAGGTCATATTACTCTTTCACCCAATCAATACAACAAGTTAAAGAGGCAGAGAAAAAGTCTGAGAACCCTGGCAGATAAAAAAAACGGCTTTAGTGAAAAAAAGAGGAGACTTATTCAGAAAGGGGGGTTTCTGCTCCATCTGCTCACAGCTGCGCTGCCTATCATAGGCCAAGTCGTGGGTGGTTTGATGAACAGAGGCAAAAAAAAAATTTGTGACATGGCCTCCAGAAAAATGTATCTGATCTCTCAGGAGCAGCTGAATCACCTCAAAGATCACGGTAAGGACATCAGAGAGAGGGCAGAGAGTGATTTGGACAAAAGAATCTTATGCCTGATGAAAAAATTAAAAGATACACCCTGCTTTTACATCGTTACCTTAACTTGGGAAAACAGAAGAGGGCGGAGACTCGCAAAATCACCCTGGCTCTACCTAAAGAGACTGAACCAGCAGCCATAGCACCACCACCACCAGCAGCCACAGAGGGCAATGGGAGGCCCTCCTGTGATAAAATAACTCAAGATGTGCTGACGAATGTTAACCCATGTTTTCAAAAGAAAGCCAAGTACATTCTACAGAAAATGGCAGAGTCTGGAGCACCCGCAAGATGGAGCGATACGGGGGAATTTATTTTCAAAGGGCATCCGGTGCGTGGTTCAAATATGGTCGATCTGATTCAACACCTGAATGTTACACGCCTCACAAGCCTGTGGGCTGGGACTATTTTCTGCATACCTTATCTGAAATTAATTTACCCCTGTCCATGGTGCCAATTAAATATGCTCGCGGACAGATGCAGAACTACAAAGATGGGGGAGACCCGGATGTTGAGTTTGCATCACCCAGAAGTCCATCCGTGTGGAGCACCCCGAGAAAGAAACGTTCCGGACCATCACCCCCGGGAGATCAAGATCATAACTACTCTTTGAATAATAGGAAAAAAAGAAGCGTTTTGTATTGTTATCCCCTCGTTGGGTTCATGTTTCTTAAATAAAAACAAGCAAGCATGTTTTTCTTGCTTTAAATGAATAAAGGAGTTTTATTGAACCATGATTTTTCCTCACAGTATTCTTACAGATAGTTTCATTTTAAAATATCACACATTTTTTGAAAATAACATTAAAACATATGCAGAGTCAAAAACTAAAGTTAATCTATGCTATAAAATAATATTAAAACCAAGCAGGGGTCATCTTATGAATAAAAACAATCTATAGCTTTAGGTTATGACATTGTGAAAACATGTTTAAAAAACACACTTGCATGCAGTCTATAGAGGAAGAAGAACAAGAGGCTATGGAGATTTGATAGGCTTTTACAAAATCAGAGGCCATAAGATCGTTTCTGATGGTATTGTCTCCATACAACCTCAACACCTGTGAATAGGATAGGCCTCGGGCCCTGTGAAAAAGATAATACATGCAGTGCCCTCCGCATACTACAGATAAAGGATGCTGCAACGTATGGTTGTGATAATAAATTACCCCGTGCCCTATCTGCAGAAAATGCAAGATAGTTTTAGGGTAATAGGGAAAATCAGGTGCAAAGCCAAAAGAGTCAAAGAACGTGGCTTCACCGTTCACCCTGAGAGCTAGCGCCAGCCAGTGTTCACTCGGGAGATTTCTAGGGTGGGTGTTTATGATGAGATACGCGGGTCTGTTGAACGTGTGTAGAGACAGTTCATCGGATGCCCACACGCCTTGAAATGCATCACCCAATAAGGGGGTTAAAATGTTATCCACCTGAAGCCTGTTCATTATTATTTTTCCCTCCTCCTCAATAGTAATCCATTAGTATGTTTCTTTTAGAGTCAATCTCAAGAATAGAATCATAAAAGGCGTACACTATAAGGGTCACGGTGTGATCCACCTGAAGCCTGTTCATTATTATTTTTCCCTCCTCCTCAATAGTAATCCATTAGTATGTTTCTTTTAGAGTCAATCTCAAGAATAGAATCATAAAAGGCGTACACTATAAGGGTCACGGTGTGTGGCAGGGGGACTCTAAATCTCATTTTAAGACGCAGCGTGCCTGTTTTGACAGGGGGCAGAACGCTGCCTTCCTCGTGGGGGGCTAGGTTGAATGCAAACAAAGTGTAGCATTTTTGAAAATCCTGTCTGTTGAAACACAGGGGGAGGTCTTTCAGATGACGCCCCGTGGCCGTAACGAGATAATAATATAATATTCTCTGACGGAGAGGTTGTTTGCAAACTGAGGCTGGAAAGGCTTTGCTGGAATCTGATGTCCGTCTTGACATAATGCCACAAACTCTAGGTCAGCGTGTATAAACTTGAAAGGGTTTAGATTACTCCGACCTGTAAAAGCTTCATGGTTTACAAGGGCAAGCACCACATACTTGGGTAAAGTACCCAGAAAGAGATTTTCTTGGGTGCATATTCTAGAATTTGCGGGGATGGAAAAAGCTTTCACAATGTGTGAAAGAGGGTACAGAGCTTTGCTGTTAGTCAGGGCAGAAGAAGGACCTATGTGTACAGCCGGTGATACTGTAACTTTTTTCACAAACAATGAGGCTCCCAAAACGTGCAGGCAGTAGTCAGCGTCTGCGGCATGCATGAGACAGAAAGAGTTGCTGGTTCTTGTGAGCTTAATCTTCAGATCTACAGAGTTTAACAGCAGTCTCTCACATAAAAAAATATCTGCGTGGAGGGGGCCGAGCAGATGAAATTCTTGATTCGGCAGTGAACTTTGCCCTCACCACAAGGCCTCTGTTAGGCCCGTTGTTCACGATAAACGAGTCCATAGCATCTGCTGTATCCTGATAAAATAAGCCACCACTGAACTGACTCTTTAAAGTTGCAAGGGAATAGTTTAACAGAGTCTCAATCATAGCCCTGTAGTGATGAGTGGCGCTTGACTGAGAAATTAACCGATCCCCCAAGGTCACATCACACTGACTGAATATGGTATTCAGGGGGTAATTTATTATGCCTACAGCCGCATCCAGGGCCAAATCCATTCCGTCTGCGTTGGTAATTTTCAGTCTTAAAAACAGCAGAGTTTCATTCAGGTCAATGTATTTTTCCCCCTCGGCTACTACGTAAAATTCGATGGGCCCTCTCTCAGTGATGGAGAACAGGGGGGAAACTTCGGTATATTGTTTATCTTCTACACTAAGCTGGGAAAAAGGACAGGAAAATAGATCGAGCTCCGAAATAATACATTCTGATGATTTTTGGTGTAAGAGAGCCATATTGGTCTAAACAAAAATATCAATGCTCTTTGGGGAGGAGCTTCGTGGTTTACATCCTCCCACAGTGACTGTCTTCCTCTTTTGAGCCACCCTTCACTTCTTGACAGTGGGTAAACGCTGCCTTGGGGGCGCATCTCTTAGATCTCCTGGCCAGAACCATAATCCCCGCCCCCTCCTGAGCGGGTTCGGGGTCTTGTTTATCAGTAAATCTGACAACAGCCTTGCTCAGCATGTCAGAGGCTATGTTTCTGGCAACGAAGTATAAATGAGGTCTAGCCACACTGAAGCCTATCTTCACCAGAGGCATGACGAATCGAAACAATTTTGAAAACACAGATCCAATCCCTTTGCCGTACTGGGTCAGCGCCCCCGTAAAGCCTCTGAGCCCCGAACCGGCCTGTTTATCATAATAACTCACAAATCGATAGGGGTCCGCTTTGTAGACCCAAGGCATCATGTTTTCACGGGTCTAAAGTGCAGCGTGAGTATGGTTTGTATTGTATTGTATGTAAAGTTGACGGGTTTATTTTGATCCGTTTTAATTTCCACGTAGATGGTCTCTATATGATTTTTAGCTAGAGGCAGATAGTGCTGTAACACATGTCACTGTGACGTGTTACAGCATGGATGCTATGGCCCAGAGGAAGGACCACCCACTCTAGTCTGGAGTGTGTTCTGCCATGTAATTGGCCAGCCAACCTAAGCAGACAGCACTCGGTGGCATCCTTTTTGCTATGGTCTTGACATATTTGTTGCTTAGTATTTTCATGAGTGTTGTGGTTGTCTGCTGCAGAAAACATGTTAAATCAACAGACACATACTCTATTTACACAAAAAAACACTGTGTATGAAGTAACCGCTTTACAACAGATATAAACATAATAAAAGGTAAGTAGAATTCATCATTTAGAATTCATATAAATGTCATAGTTGTCATTTATTTTCTTAAAACTATTTTTATTGCATATTACTGTCAGCATGTCACCATGTGCCATTAAAATGTACATGTATTTGTTTTGAGTAGATTCAGGTGACATATGCAGTGCAATTCCTATTTGACATGTCTTTACTTTGAACTCTGATGGCTTTTAAGTTTTATAAAGCTGATGAGTTTTTCAGACTCCAAAACTGCAGTCATGTCTTTAAGGAGATTTTTTATTTTATCCTTTATACTGGATTACTTTGATGGATTATAGCTACAATAAATCCAGAGATATTTTTGAGACTAAATTTAACGTAATCTCATAAATAACAGGGCAAACCAGCCAGGTGTTTGCCATGTTTTCTGTAATCTGAACCTAAGTTGCTTGTCTTGTTAAACAGCTGAATTCATCAAGTGCCATAAGCTGTTGTAAATGCTAGTGATATCATGCATGGTTCCGAATTCACAAATGTAGCAACATAATGTTTTTTTTTATATTATTTTCTCAATAAATATGTAGGAACTAGTCTTTCTGATTCTGCTTGTCTTGAAATGAATAGCTGCAGACTTTCTCTCACTAAGCTTTATGCCACAAATCAAAGTATTAACTAGTTTTTATTTAAATACCGTAGATTCTGCACAAACAACAGATGCAAAGAACATATTGAATAAAATAAAATTCACCCTTTCTCTAGTTCTGGATAGTACAGTAATTGTGGTGTACTGGTCACAGTTGAGTGTATGGCTGCCGAGAAATGAAAAATAGTGTTGGCTCTTTGCAAAACTGCCTAGGAAAAATATAGTCAAGCTCCAAGATCACAATATTTTCACCAAATATTGACATATACCTATATAAGGTGTTTTACTGCAAATGGTGTTTACACATACATTAAGTTTATGATATGTTATAGTATATGTTATAGTAGAAGCTGTTAATAGTGTGGAAGGCTGGTGTGAAGAGCCGGAGTGACAGTGGCTGCAGAGGCTGCTCTGAGGACAGCATGGAGACTTTCAGCCCTGGCAGGTGCTGAGGTCCTTAGCTTTCTTTCGAAGTTTTGCCAGAAGCTCTTTAAGTTTTGCATCAAGTCCGTCAAGCCTTGTTGACTTCTCAAGGATCTCATCCTGAAGCAACCTCAGGGTATCTGCTTTATCTGGAAAAAGACAAAAGTACAAGGAGTAACCAGGGATCAAATAAAAACACTGCAGACTCACTGATCATCCTCTTATTGGACCAGAGTTACAATTGATGACACAAAGGTCACCTCTTCTGTGGTTTCTGTCAGTTTGTGGGTTTTAAGGACCTGTGTCAATGTACTTTCTACAAGTGCAAGTTACAAATCACATAATGCATTGTGTAATTATTGAATTATCTGAAAACCAAGGACAAGTCATTTAAAGAAGGATTTAGGAAAAAAAAAATTAAATCATTCACAACTGCTTCCAAATGAATAATAAAAATCATAGTACATGTAAGTGAATGGCTATTGTAAAAAAGAAACATTTCCATAAAAATAAAAACATGTTTGGCTTTTTCTGAAAGTTTACAGTCTGCATAAGGGCCCCGTCTCATCACAAGGATAACAGACATATCACCCTTGAAGGTATGACTAAAAATCTTCCTTAAGAAAGCTCTCTCATTTGAGAGTGAATGACACTATACAATAACAATCACTCAAACACATTTTTGTGGTGGTGGTGTTTTGCTGTGTTACCTTCCAGAGCGTTCGTCATGTTTTCAGTGGTGTTGGCCAGAGTTCCCGCATCCTGTTGCAGCTTCGCTAGTCGATCCCCAACCGGGCCCGCCTCTCCACCAGTCCCACTGGCTGCAGCCTGATCTTTAAGACGATCCAGCAGCTTTTCCAGCGACAACAAGTCCTAAACACACACCCACACAATTTATGAATCTATTTATGAAGACATTCCACTGCACATTCATTCTAACTTTAACTCTCCACTAGATTCCTTTAATAAGGTGTTTGTTTCAACAAATCCTTTCCAGTACATCACTTCACAGACCAATGCTAAATACAGACATATGCAATTGAAATGCACTGTAAAAAGATGACCACTGATTTCTCTTATAGAATTATTTTTCAGAATTATTTACCTGTTTCAGAATCCAAAGCTCCCTTCAACATTGCAGTTTACAATAATGATGATTATAGATAGCTATGAGCTTATTATTGTATATACTCCAAGTCTTGTCTCTAAACAAACCCCTTGTATAAGTGAATGTTTTCATATTTCAAACAAGAAAGGCTACAGCAGGTCTCTCACCTCATTTGCAGCACCTGCTTCATCCTCAGCCTTGCCTGCATTTTCCTGTGCATCTTGGGCCTGCTGGTCTGCTTTCTGCAGCAAGTCTTTGAGCTTGCCCAGTTGAGGTTTCATTGGCTTTATCAGTGTTGATACATCGTCCAGAGCCTTCTCTGCTGGGGCCAGCTGGTCCATGGCCTGCATCAAGAAAACCACTCTCAAACTCAGTAGTTAAAGTTTTTATTGCTGCTCATCCTTTGTTTGATATGTCCATGCTTCCTACCTTAGTCAGGCTGTCGTTGAGGTTGTGTATGAGATCCGTGATGTTCTGCAGTTTGTCCTCCAGGCCAGAGACAGACTCCTCCACTGAGCTGAAACCCTCCAGCAGTTCGTCCACATCGGCCTTTACGCTCAGCGCAGTGTCCCTTTAAATGTGCAACCAGAGAAAACATTTTTACATACATATGACATTTATTGTGACGGTGTGGCCCAGCGAAGCTGTTCCCATGCTCCAGGACTGTTTTGAGCGCGCCGACTGGGACAGCTTCAGAGAGGCAGCAGTTGGGGAGGGCAGGGTAGACCTGGAGGAGTATGTGACAGCTGTTTGTGGGTACATCAGCAAGTGCATCAGTGATGTCACCGCCACCTGGAAAATCACTGGCCATCACAGATTACAGTAGGAGAGATGTTCAATGCCCTCGGAATCCATCTCTTCCCGATGTCCTGAACACATGTTGAGGAGTCCAACCTCTCCCCCTTCCCCATTTCCAGGCTCACAGTTCCACCTGGTGAGATCCCCCTCAGTGTGTCTGCTGTAGACATGAGTCGGTCCCTGCAGAGGATTAACCCCTGGAAAACAGTGGGCGCAGACAACATCCCGGGACGGGTCCTGACAGACTGTGCCAAGGAACTTACTGACATGTTGACCGACATCTTTAATACCTCACTCTCTCAAGCTGTGGTGCCGACATGTCTCAAAACAGCTACCATCATCCCAGTGCTCAAGAACTCAGCACCCTCAGGCATGAATGACTATCGTCCAGTGGCTCTCACCCAACAGTCATGAACTGCTTTGAACGGCTTGTCATGGCGCACATTAGAGACACTGTTGACACCACTGTGGACCCCCATCAGTATGCCTACAGGAAGTACCGGTCTATGTCAAATGCAGTGTCCTCTGTTATCCACACTGCTCTTGTCCACCTGGAGACACTTATGTCAGGCTGCTGTTCCTGGACTTCAGTTCTGCATTTAATACAATCATCCCGCAGACTCTAGCACACAAACTCCTGCTGCTTGGTGTAAAGTCATCCCTCTGCAATTGGGCCCTGGATTTTCTGACCAACAGGCCTCAGTTAAAGTCCATGGCATCTCATCCTTGTCCATCACGCTTAATACCAGCTCCCCCCAGGGATGTGTCCTAAGCCCCCTGTTACACGCTACTTATGATTGCACAGCCAGGTACCCAAGCAATCATATTGTAAAGTTTGCAGATGACACTGTGGTTGTGGGATTAATATCCCACAATGACAAGAAGGGAGGTGGAGAATCTTGTGGACTGGTGCAGGGCAAATAACCTCTGCATCAATGTGGGGAAGATGAAGGAGTTGGTGCTGTACCTCTTTTCATTGGAGGAGTTGCTGTGAAAATGGTTTCCAGTGTGAAGTATTTAGGGCTTCACATCTCTAGGACTGCCTGCTATGGACACACTGTACACACAGCGCTGTCGTAAAAGGACAGAGAACATACTCAGAGATCCATGCCACCCAGCTCACTCTCTGCTCAGACACAAAAACTGCACCTACAGCCTCAGGCACAGAAGGGCTGACAGTATCATCACACACAGAACAAGACTTTACAACAGCTTTTTCCCCGCCGCAGTAAGACTGATGGCAAATGTGAGAATATATGTGCAATAACCCCTTACTAGACGTGCACAATAATAATACAGAAATGTGTTCTCTTGGGGGACCTGAATAATAGCAGGACATTCTCTACCAAGCAATGGAAACAGGCCTGAATAGAAACTGTGTTTTAGTATGTTATAACCCCTCACTACCTCACCAAGCGTAATGACATATCCAACTCCAGGATGTGAATTACTAAGTGTGATGTTTGAAGTTGACTGGGGAAAATACTATTACCCTATTTTTGTGTATTGCGGTTTTAAATGCTTTGTCACCTTTATGTAATTTTTTTATTTTAAGACTAAAAGTTCTTTCTGGCTTTTGACACCTTTCCTGACTCCAAAGGAGAGCTGCACAATAATTCCTATATGCCTAGACCATTAATACAGCCACCATCATAAAGAAGGCCCACAGTTATATTTTCTCAGAAGGCTCAAGCGGGCTGGTCTGGATGCTCTGGTCTTAACAGCCTTCTACCAGTGTGCGGTGGAGAGCATCCTGACATCCTCCATCACAATCTGGTACGGGAGCTGCTCTACCACTGACAAGAAGGCACTGCAAAAGGTCATTAAATTGCCCCCCCAAAAATTATTATACACTGTAGTCTGCCTTCCCTTGAAGACATCTACATCAGCAGGTGCAGGACCAGAGCCTCCTCTGTCATGGATTACCCCACACACCCAGCACATGGACTGAATTCCTTCCCTCAGGCAGGAGGCTGCAGAGCATCAAGGCCAGGACCACCAGGCTTAAATCCAGCTTCTTGCTAGAAACTGTGAGAATTGTGAACTCTAGGCCTCTGTGATGGACATACTGATTTAATAATGTTACATTAGGTTTGATCATTTAGAGTGCATTATTCACTGTTATATTATTATGTATATGTTTTTAATATATGCTGGTCCTGAGTGACTAATTTTGTTCTTCATGTGTCAAACGTGTAGAATGACAATAATGGAACCTTGAACATCTTTATAAAGACATAATAGAGCACTCAGACCAATCCTCACAGGGAGAGCAATGCTGAAAAATCACCCATTAAACCTTCCAAAAGAAAAAGGTTTGACCTTACGAGCAGAAAAGGGCAGAGATGTAATAAGTCTAATGTTAACAACAAAGGAAATGTTCATCACATATTTCAGATTAGTAGGGGTACAGGAAAAATGCAGCATGAAGCTTGGTAAAACAGTATTTACTGATTACAGTTCATTCAATAAGAAAACCCTCTACTATATTTATAACTTCTGTAAATCATTACATCTCTTGTGAATTGTTATAACATCCATCCTAGGATTAACACAACCACTCTTACTTACAACCACTCCAGAGATAAAGATTTGTTCCTGCATATTCCACATCTTTTAGAATCTAATCCAAACAAATACCATGTAAGCAGTGTACATCACAGAGGCCCACCTGGCATCCTGGGCTTCCTGCAGCAGTTTCTTGGCCATGTCCAGCTGTGGCTCAGCCTCCTTCAACACAGCTGTGCTGTCCGGTAGATTTGCAGACAGACTCTTCAGCTCGTCCAGCTTCTTCTTCAGGGCAGCCAGGCTGAGGGGCAACTTGGCATTCAGGATCCAGTCACTCACCTCCTGGATCTGCGTCAGGTTGGATGATGGGTCTGGATGAATAAACAGAAAAAGGTGGTAACAAAAGTCATTCAAAATCATTCATGAAACCAAATGAACCTTCACCCTGTTTTCATATATCAATCCTCACATCTATCTATCTTCTTCAGTGAAATCATCCTTACCTGACAGGAAGTCTTTAAGCTCTTTCACAATGTCACGTGTCTCTTTTAAGTCTTCTTCTAGTCCATCTCTGGTCTGCTTCATCTTATTGGAGAGCTTCTCTGCAGACTGCCTCACCTGATTAGTTGCATCTTGTACTTCTTGAAGCTGAAAGGATTGATTAATTAAAATGCTGCTTCAGAATCCTTAGCTGTTAAATAAACTGAGAATCATTTTTAGTCATAAAACAATCTGCAGTTACAGTGATATACCAATATACCACTGTGGTATATTAGTTGTATAAGGTTAGTGATATACCACTAACCTTCTCTGCAGTGTCTGTGATGTTCCTTGTGAGCTTGTTCAATTGGTCCTTCACATCCTTAGCATCAGCATCTGCCCTCTTGCTCAAAGGGAGAGCGCCCACACACATTTGCTCTTGCTTTTCACAAGTTGTGGTTCCCTCTGGTGGACACAGCTCTCTACCTTCACACTGGAGAGGGGTACAGGGCTCTGAGCGATCACTGCCACATACCTGAAAAGTCACAAACAGGTATGTGATGATTTTAAGGGGAAATGCAAGAGCTACTGTCCCATTTAACAAAAGTGCCATTAGATATCAGTGTTTGATACAATTCTCAATAGGAAGTGTTGCATAAAGCAGGATACCTCAGCCACTTATTGTCAGACTGCTGTAAAATGTACAGTCAACATGTTATCCTCATGGACCAGTCCCAGATGTCTTTAGTAACTCTCTGAAATTTACTCAAGTGCTACTCTCAAGACAAAGTCCCCACTTGTACACAAGTATTAAAATGTAAACTAAAGTACTGAGCATATTTATGGCAGATGATGAACTGTTTCTCCTCCAAAGTTTATAATGAATTTTCTGGATAGTATTCATAACATTTAACTTGCATTTTCTAAAAAGAAGGACAATAGATTCAGAAGCCTAAAAGTAATTGGACAATTGACTGACAAGTAGTTTCATGGCTAGGTGTGATGTGTTCTCTCTGTGTGATGACAAATTAAGCAGTGTTATGGCATGGCATGTATGGCTTACAGCAGAACTGGATCACTGGTGTTTATTGATGATGCAACTGCTGAGAGAAGTAGCAGGATGAATTTTGAAGTATATAGATCTATACTACGTATCCAGATCCAGCCACATGCTGCAAAACTGAGGATGGTGCTTCACAATACAGATGGATAATGACACAAAACATACAATGACAGCAGCCCAAGAGCTTCTCAAGGCAAGGAAATGGACTATTCATCAATGGCCAAGTCAGTCACCTGACCTCAACTCAAATGAGTGTGCTTTTCACACACACATTGAAGATGAAACTGATGCAGAAAGACCTTCAAATAAGCAAGACCTGGCAAAGCACCTCAAAAGAGGAAGCAGCATCTGATGAGGCCCATGAGTTCACGCAGTCATTGACTGCAAAGGATTTTGAGCTTCTGAAAACTGGGGACTACTATGGATAAAATGACTGTAATTCCTAAATAGTTAATGTGATATTTTTGTGAAACCCCTTAAATTAACCCTTGTGTTCTGTTAAGAATCTTAAAGTTGAAAGTATACACTTTAAATCGTTGACTGCTTCATTTCAAATCCACAGTGGTAGTGTACAGAGGCAAGATTACAATAATTGTCTCTTTGTCCAAATACTTATGAATTCGACTGTAGATCAAGGAGATATGTGGTTCTGAAACACAATTTGAGGAGTTAGAATGGGTTAAAGCTGCAGTTTTCATCATGCCACGATTCTGTGTGATGAAGTGAAGTCAGGTCTGGTAGTCACCTGTTTGGCAACAGGAGTCAGGTCTGGTCTGGAGGCCATATTCTGGTTTAGTTTGTCTAGATCTCTGGTGTTGGCTGGCTGTACTTGGTTTTGAAGGTCCATGGTCTCCTCTCTGACATCAGCTGACTTATTCATTGTGTTTCCACTGGCTTCTACTTTCTTAGCTGCATCTGTTGACTGATCATAGGCGTTCTTGATGGCAGAAAATCGTCCTGAACACGACAGAAAAACTCAACATGATTATATGTCATACAGTCACTGTGTCAGAGCACCTGGTTGAGAAACAAACATGAGTAGAAACAATGAGGAGGTTTAGTCAGTCATCCAGCCATCAGGTTAATTATTTTTGTCTCATATTTTATTTTATTTTTTACTAGAAAATTAAACATTTAAGTTAATAAAACCAACTGAGAATGCTTTTACTTAATTTCTGCTCAAAATTAACACCTACTGTTTTGATCCATTATTAAAACTGAGTGTAGTGGTGATCAGTGTGGGTTTGTTTCTCACCAGTGTCGGTGGGACTGATGATGTTCGTCATGGCATCTTTCTTGGCTTCGTACATCACAGTGAGGCTGTCCAGCAGAGCCTTCAATTTGTTAAGGTCTGAGTCCAGATCAGGAGTTCTCACGAGGGGTGAAAGGTCATCATTAGCTTTGTCGACCTGGTCCCTGTGAGACAACAGTAGGACTTATTTAAATAAGCATCAGTGAAAACAAATCTCCACACTCATGAGTATTAGAAAACAGCATCCACAATAATAATGAAGAATCCTTTAAACAGCAGATTATTTTAGCTGGTTTTTAAAATTCAAATTCAGGTTATTTTATCCTCCTGCAGACCTCAACAGTTCTTCACCTGAGCTTGTCCAGCAAGGACAGAGCATCATTGATCTGTTTAGCAGTAGTGGGTGGAAGGGAGACAGAGTTCCGAATCAGGACCAGGCTTGACTCCAGGGCCAAGATGCGAGGCCCAAAGTTCCCAAGATCACCAGCACCTCCAGGACGAGAGGGGAAGCGGGAGGAGAATCTCTCCAGAGCTAAACTGAAATTTTGTCTCTGTGCGTCCAGGGTGAAGAAGCAGGAGGGACACATCTCGCAGGCAGGGAAGGAGTCACAGTGTCCCTGGCTGCAGGTGTCGCAATGTGTCCCTGTGACGCCTGGCTTACATGAACAGGCTCCTGTCTTCTTGTCACAAACCTCTGGAAGCGTTCCTTCAGTATCACACTGACATGCTGTTGAGATCAGAGAAGCCAGAAGACAAGAAATACAAAGTCAAGCACCAACCGACCATGAAGTTATTCTTCAACAACATAGTGTGGTAGAATTGAAATTTTATGTTATGGGATTCACTTGTTCTGCCATAAGAGCAATATAAGAGTATAATAGATTATTTTGAAAAATGAATGGAAATAGTAGGAAAAACAATAACTTACTGAAACAACCATCTGTGAACTACAGCGAACAGTAAACAAGCCAGGAATAGAACTCTGGGCGACTTGCAGTGTACTATTATTGTGTATTATTCTGGGATCTTCCACCCTTTTTTTTGGAACTTTATAAGTCCAGCATACTTTCAACTATACAGGCCAATGAGGTCTTTATCTGTTCAACTCTTCAGGGACATCCCTGCTTGTACTCAACTTTTTTATAACATTTATACTTTTTAATTGATTCAGCTTTATTGTTTGCAATACAAGTCAGTGGGAGCTCAAAGTGCTGAGTCAATGACACAGTCTTGGAGTGCCATCTGGTGGTTCATAAAATGCAGCGCAATTGAGACATGGCACTTCATAACTCCTCTCTCTCCCTCTCTCTGTCTCTCTCCCCTTCCCCCTCTCCCTCACATGCTCACACCTACTTGTTTTACCTACTTTGTGGAGTCCAATTGGACTATTTTCACATCTTTAATAAGTGCAGCATACTTTCAGCTAGAAAAGCCATTCAGGTATCAAAATGTTCAGCTCTTCAAGGACAGTCCTACTTGTATTTATTGCATCTTATCCTTCAGATTATTCAACAAAGAACTTCAGCCATGTCTTCTCAACTATTTCAACAAAAAAAACTTTCTTCTCATCCTTCAGCTGTTTCAGCAATTGATTTCAAGCATTTTCAGGACAATCTTTCAGCTTATCAGCATCCACACGCATTTACAACAGGAAATGCATTTCTATAATTAGTTTTATCAGCTATTTTTGGCATTTGTTGTTTATTCTATGAGTGACTTTGAAAATGCTACTGAAATACCGCTCCACATGCACAACTGTATCAAACTTTATGATTTTAAAAACAAAAAGCCAACAAGCAATAGAAACTGACCACATTTAGATAGCCTTGGATCATGTCTTAATGGTACAGTAGTGTTGGGCAGAGCTGGCCCGATCTGAGCACCTGGTTAGGGCCCCAGTGGCCATCAGAGGCCCCATAGAAGAGCTTGAAATGCCCAACAAGACAGCTTGTTTGTGCACACTGCAATGGATGGTAGGTGCATTTTGATATAAGTGCAGTCTGTCAGACCATAACTACAGGTAGTATAAAAAAAGCAGCAAAAAACTAATGTAAAAAAAGATGCATCTCTCTCAAGCAGAGAAAAGAAAGAAGAAAAAAATAAGGTTAGAACTATTGCAAGATAAAGGTACCTTTATGTGAGCATTTACAATATTTTTCTTTACTGAAAATACAGAGCAGACAGAAAAAAAAGTATTGTCGACCTTGCCAGTCACTGTACTTTTACAAATGTTGGCTTCTGTTGTCGCCTTGGTGATTTATACTCGGAAAAAAGTAGGCTATGTTTTATTACACCAGCAGCACACAGACCAAGTCACTAGCATTAGCTTTAGCATAAGCAGCTATGGTGAGGAGAGAAAACCAGAGGAAGCTCCCCAGCAATGCTCAAACAAACAGCCCACAAACCTGCTGCCACTGTAATACTAGGGTGATGTTTGTGTCTCAATATTAGCCTGCAGATAGATGGCCATGGATGAAAGCATAACTTCTTCCAGCTCACAGGAATATTTTAATGTCTGTCATAACCACAGAAAATATGTCTCTCTGTCCTCACTTGACTCTCTAAAGGCCTTTTACTACTCTACCAATCTACACTGCCTGCTGATTTATTTTGTTACTTTTCAGTACACAATGTCCAGTATGCCACTTAGTATTTAGCACTAAGTACCCCTTTGTAAGTTTGCTACCTTTTAATATTACAAACTGTAGAAGAGTAAAACCATGCCAGGCTGCCAAAGATATGATGTAAGCAAACAGCTACGCTTAATAAAACTGAGCACGAGTGTGGTAGATTTACAGTATGTGTGAATAATCAAGCTTTGACAATAGTTTAACATTAGGTTACTGGCAGTGAAGAGGTGGTAGAGGGCCTCAAATCAAATTTTACATAGGGTCCCATAAAGATTTGGGTTAGCTCTGCAGTGTTAGGGCTTAAAAAGAAGAGATGAATGAATGTGCACTAAAATCTAGGCAATGTGGCACATCAAAATACCACAGATAACTGCACACTAAGCATCTATAATTTATTGCTATAATTTATGTTTTTATTGATTTTTTTTTACCCCTAGAAAAGATCACTTGTGACTGAAATGGTTTGTCAACAATAAATGTCAGAGTGCAGAGGATTAATCAGACATGGCTGACTCACGTTGGCAGCCTACAAGAGGGTTTCCGTATGTGTTCTCTGGGCACTCAGTACATCTTCGGCCTCCAAAGCCTGGTCTGCACTGACACTGACCTGTCTCCTAGAAAGAAGGGAACAGAATTGATTTTAGTATCATTAACAGAAAGGACAGATACAAACTGGACACAGATCGAATGATCTGATGATCCAGGAACACATCGCCTGTATAACTCTGAGGACTAGCAGTAGCAGCAGACAGTCAGAGAGGCACTTCCAGCATCAGCAGTGATAGTAACAGTCCTAATTCATCCTTATTTACGGTACATGTAATTCTAGTATTCTGTCACACAAAGCTGTAAACCATCCCTTTAACTACAGTTTTTATTCTTTTATAAATGTTCTCTATCTATTGCATGTCTGTGTCCCCTCTTCTGTTGTTCTTCTTGAGGTTTCTTTTATTTTCTTCCCTGTTGAAGGGTTTTTACTGGGTGGTTTTTCCTGATCTAGTGTGAGTCTGACTCAGTGGTTCTCAAACATTTTTTGTTGTTCCCCACTTAAGAGAGTGGGCGAATTTTCAAGCCCCACTTGTCAAAAAATTATAACAAAATTGGCCAATTTTAAAATTTCAAATTGATTGAAATATCAAATAACACTAAGTTGAAAATGGATAAAATATAAGTGCAACTGTATGGTTTGATGGGGATAGTTTTCAATTTTGCAGCACTTGTTTCATCCAGCATAATCGACACCATGTCTACAGTTACAGGGAGAATGAGCTGCTCAGCAATTGACTGGGGTGTGTTGTCTCCAAATGTCTTCTTAATTTGTTGGGTCTCATGCTGTCTGCTGCCAGCGGTTTAAGACACAAGACACACATGGGTCCCTCCTCTGCCCCCACCATTCCCACCGTGAATCAAAGCGCAAGACAGGCTTCATCATATTTTCTTTTCAGCTGGCTTTTTGGTTGATAAGGCTTACTGCCTGTCATTTCTTTGTCGGCTTGCGCTGAATCGCCTGCTTTTTTGTGGTCTATGTAACAAATTTATCCATTTACGTTATTATGCCCACTATGTACACTATTGGCCCTCTCTGTGAACATTTCCTTATATTGTTGTGCGGCAGTTAACATGCCGACGTTAAACCGTTATTGTTGCACTATGGTTCCACTTTTTTCTCCCGGGCCCCGAACTGATGTTATTTTAATTTACTTGTATTAATTACCCATTTCTAATTTTCTCTGTTCATTGCACCCCACCTGTCATGTCTTGATTCCCCACTATTGGGGCGCGCCCCACACTTTGAGAACCACAGGTCTAAGGACCCAGGGTGTTGTATGCTGTACAGATTGGAATGCTCCTTTATGTAAATTTATGATTTGTGATACCAGGCCATACAATTAACTGACTTGACTTGGTAAATGATAATAAACTACTGTATGCTTGTGTTTATACAACATTTTTCCATCAACTTACTACCATTTATTGCTGCAGCAATGCAGCATACTGTATTCTATACATTCTGTGGAGGTTGTACCTGGTCACAAGTATCACTGTACGATCTAGTGGAGTCACAGCTGCAGGGTTCACAGCGTCCTGACAGGAACGATTTCCAGTAGCCTTTTGAACACACTTCACAATTCAGGCCATGGAAGTGGGGGCGACAGGGACACTGACCGGTCACTGGGTCGCAAACATCTGAGAGTGACCCATCTATGAAACAGGAACACTCTGGACAGTAGAGTTAGGAAAAGTATTAGGCACAGTGATCAGACTTTGGACAAGTATCATAAAGAGGCTATTAATATAAAGCCACCAAAAAGCCAACATTTAATACTTTGAATTTTCAAATTAAAAACATCACATCAAGAGATTGTGAAATTCTTCTCAAATTGCCAGAAATGACAGATTACATTAAATAATTCTTAGCATCAGTATCTATCAAACACACACTGGTCAACTTCAGTGTAAAAATTTGCACACATATACTGTATACACCTCCTCTATAGCCATGATCTACTGTACATGTTTAGACACACTAATGCAGCAATCTGTGGTGGAAAGTAACTAAGTGCACTTACTCAAGTACTGTACTTGAGTACAGTTTTGAGGTATCTGTACTTTACTTGAGTATTTTGATTTTGTGTTACTTCATACTTTGACTTTATTACATTTTAGAGGCAAATATTGTACTTTTTTACGCCACTACATTAATTTAATAAATTTCATTATACATTACTTTTCAGAACCAGATGAATACATAATGTACAGTAAAATTGTAAGACTTTATTGATATCCAGTGGAAAATTCAGAAGCCTACCCAGCAGTAATTCAAATATGTAATATATAAGCATAAATGCCAGTAAAAATTAGCTCCCCTTTTACCAACTGAAATACTGCAGCAACATTGCATAAGTAATTATAATCAAATCACATCATATACATTAATGTTAAATGTGCAATTCTGCATCATGAATATTGTTACTTTTTATACTTTAAAATTACAAAAGTATTAGCATCAATACATAAGTACCATTTTGAATGCAGGACTTTTACTTGTAACAAAGTATTTTTACACTGTTGTATTGCTACTTTTGCTTAAGTAAGGGATCTGAGTACTTCCACCAGTGATGTACAGTATATAACACTCTGGCTCATGCAGAGAATACATCTTCATGAGCAACTAAGCTTTAATAGTAATGGCAACTAAAAAGAAGCAGAGCTGAAAACAGAAGAATGTCATTTTATAAAGTGTGATGTGCAGGTGTTGGATGACTCACTGGAGCAGCCCAGAGGCTTGGAGCCGCTCAGGCCGTAGTAGCCTCTCTTACAGTGGTCACAGCGGGGACCTTCAACGTTGACTTTACATAAACATGAGCCTGTGCTGTCATCACAGCGGCCCCCATTTACAGTCCCTTCAGCACTGCAGATACAGCCTGGCAGCAACAAAACACAACATGAGCCACTCAGGGAAGATCCTATAATATTTTGCACATTCTTGAAGATTTAAGTTTGAATTTGGCACCATCCTGAATGTCTGATTCTTGATGTGTTGTGCTTTCTACACTGTGATGTGTGAAGGGCCTAACTTCAAAGTTCACACTGTTTCATTTCAACAATAAGCCACTTACGGATGCAGGCATCAGGGCGATCCATTCTGCTGCGAGGGTTTGGTTGGTAGCCTGGTGCACACTGGTCACACTTTGGCCCTGTGGTGTGATGCATACAATCCTCACACACACCTCCACTCCTCCGTCCACTGGCCTCATACACTGCCTGGTCAAAACGACAGCGCTGGGCATGGTTGTTGCAGTCACATCCTGATGAGAGGACAAATAGGTTATTATACATTAATGAACTGCACCTGCTTATCTTTGAAAGTTGCAGGGGGGGCTGAAGCCAATCCCAGCCAAGTCTGGGGCCACAACCACTCACACTCACAGCTACAGGCAATGCAGAGCCACTTTACATATCAAAAACAAACTAAAACATCCTTGAATTAAAAAGACTTATCAGGCTGCCAACTTTGTTGGTCAGTTTTGGCCTTCAACAGTAATTGCCCAGCTGTAACATGATGGCGGCTCCAAAACAGTCTAGCATGTCTGAAATTCTCTGTAAATACGTTATTAACTCCATTTCTTTTGATATATGCACAGGTTTCTTATTAGTATTGGAAGCCCATCTATGATGGACCATTTATGGTACCTGTGTTGAGAAGGAGGCAGGTAATATAGGACAATAATAAAACTTAAACAAAAAATGTCTTAAAAATCAGTTTTTTTCCATCTGCCAACACGCATTTCCTCTTCTTGTCATGTGGGTCTTGGTGGTGAGTATGAGAGGAATTATTGCATGAATGAAATGGTGTGGTATGTCTTTTGCTTGGCTGACAGATGACTAAGCCTTTCCCACTAAGCTGTAATGGTTACCCTCAGAAACCTGAGTAATGGTACACATGCTATATCCATGTGTTTCTACAGACTGTGCTATGGCAAAATACCATCAAGCTGATGAGACATGTTACAGGTAGGGGGTGAAAGCCTACGTTTGCAGGTGTGAGTATTTCCCTCCTCTGCAGGTCTCCAGGGGAGATCATTGTAGAGATCAGCACAACGCTCACAGTTCACACCTGCTGTGTTATGCTGGCAATCACACAGAGGATTCACCTGCAAAGAGACATTTCATTAAAGGTCAGCTGATTCACTCAGGCTGTGATCAGAAGAAGACTGGTCCCATAGA